AAACTGTTTTTAAGTATTTTGTAGCTACATTATATAAGTACTTTATCGTACTTCTAGTTACTGCATTATAATGATGCAATGTTTATTACAGTATATAAGTGTATCTAACTATTTTGTTGATATAATCCACAGAAGCTCAGGCAATAATGTATTTGTTAGCCTTAAAGGGGCAAAAGATTTGGCTGTTTGGGCTAACAGCAGGATAAAAGTACTGAGGAATTATTTCTGTTTCAGCCTAAATTTTGGGGGAAAGTTGGTGAGGAACCCAAAAGGAAATTCATGGCATCGCTGAAATTCACAGCAAATGCCCTTGGTTGCTTTTCTAATGTAAACCCTCTTTACTCAGTCACTATATTTTGATGGGCTGCTTTTTTCTAGGCAGTCACTGTTGAGGTATATTCTTCTCATTTTGTATTGAGGATTTAACGGTGCTCCAGTGGATGTTCATAGTCATATCAACCCTGACTGATACTTCTATACAACTTCATCCTGGACTTGTTTAGATCTTCACTTTAGTGCTGTTTGTTTGGATATAAGCTCTTCCTCAGACCCATGGGCCTTCCAGAAACAGGGCATTTAATCTGAGTATATATGATATTGGAATTGCAGACTAAATATGAGCCAACAGAGCGATGCAGCCGCCAAAAAGGCCAATGCAATTCTAGGCTGCATCAACAAGAGTATAGTGTCTAGATGTTTTAGTTGCCTGTTTTGTCTATTTTGTACAGATTGTGCTTTTTACATTTTTATGATTGTTCTGTTTTTTTATTGGATTTTTAGGACAATGTAGTCTTTTTTCAGTTTTGTGTTTTACACTTGGAGATGAAGGGAGACTTTCAACAGCAACCACAACAATAACAGTGATAATGAGGATGCAAAAATCACACAACTGATAAAAATCTTGTGCTTACAAGATGCTGCTGACATTTTAATTTTTTTCCCCCAAAATACATTTCAACCACCACCTTGTTTATTTTTAAAAAAGTACAATATTTTCAAATTAAACATTAAAATGCTTCCCAAGGAAATATGACAGGCGGTTCTATTCAAACCATAGTTGCCTGCAGACATAAACCCCCACCAAATAATAACTTTAAATTATATTTCCTACAAAATCCATCACAAACATAATTCCTGCCCACTTTTTCCTGATCATCATTTCCATCTTTTACAGAAGATAATTTGTCATTTTCTTCTTGGGGGTCTTCTGAAACAAGCTTCTTTGTTTAATTCATTGAATAACTTTAATTTCTTTAACAACCCCAATAAATATTCAGAAATATTACATCTCCCCCACTAGAAGACAATATTTGATATTAACTATACAGGTAACCAGTACAGGCATCCTCTGCTTTTTGGGGAACTAATTTTTCAACATTTCCATTTTGACAGATCTAAATAATAATAATAATAATAATAATAATAATAATAATAATAATAATAATAATGATAAATTTTATTTTTAACCCACCCCTCTGCTAGGCAACCGGGGCGGTGTACAAGTTAAAACAATACAGAAATTATAGCCATTTACTGAACTTGCAACTTCTGGTTCACTCTTTTGACCACGCACTGCTTTTTCCCCCCTCTCTGGCTGCATCCCCACTGCAAAAATAATCCAGTTTGACACCACTTTAACTACCATGGTTCAATGTTATGGAATTCTGGGAAGGACAGGTTGCTTACCTGTAACAGTATTTCTTCGAGTGGT